CATTACAAGAAAAATATGATACTTGTTGATTATATTTTTTTTTTTTGACAAAAGAAGAGGACGTTGTACTACATTTTTGTTTGCTTGTTGTATTACTTTTTATTTTTTTTTACAAGAAAAATAAAAAAATGATGTTGTCAAAGTACATTTTATTTTTTTATGCCTTTTGTTTTATTTTTTTGCAAGAAATACTTGTTATATTACCTCGAATTTTTTTTACAAAAAAAATAAAAAAATGTTGTATTATCTTTTTTATCTTCATCTTGAAAAGCCTTTTATTTTTTATTTTTTCTATTTTTTTTCAACAGTATTTTCTACCTTTGTTTATTTTTTTTGACAACAAATTTTTTTTTGTATTTTTTTGTTGTGCGCTAAGCGGTTCAAACTCAAAAAAAAAAAATTTTTGTTGTGCGCTAAGGGGTTCGAACTCAAAATATTTTTTGGTGTTCGCTATGGGGTTCGAACTCAAGACATACACCGAAAAATTGGTGTTGTCAACCAACATGGCCACGTCGCCACATGTGATTCTACTAGCTTCTATAATAATATATATTCCATCATGTTGCTTTAATGATTTTTGTAGGAACTATCCCACATCGAAGGATGAGTGTTGCTTGGTTCTCTATAAAGTCATGTGTAATTGACACTCCATTGCACGTGTAGAAACGCGAGGAAGGCAAACGTGATGTGAGTTACCATGTGTGGCCACATGTCACTCTCATGAGGCGGCCACGTGTGCCATGTGTTATTACCGTGAGGCTACCACGTGTAAACCCAAAAAATACAGGTTTTTTCGTTGAGACTCGCGATTCACTATTCGGAATCGCCCGGTTCTCTCTGGACACGGGCGATTCTTGGTTTTGTCGTGGAACCGGTTCGGTAGCAGACGATTCCCGAGTCGAACCGGGCGAGTCCAGCTCGACTCGGCGAGTTTTAAAACACTGGTGTATACTTAATCATACTTAATCTAAGTTTTTCTATTTTTTCTAATTTTTTTTGGGGGGTTTTGACCCATTGGTTTTTAAAAAAAATCTACTTAACTGGTTAGTCCGGTTAACCGCTCCGGTTAGTCTGGTTCCGGTTTGAACCGCTCCCAGCCTCGTGACCGGTTAACCGTTTCGGTTCGATTTTGCGAACACTGCCTTTGGCACATCCATCAAAGTTAAAGTTTAGTGGTTCCTCTTGAGGTGCGGCACCATAACAATACCAGTTTTCGTTTTGAGTGGTATTCTTTAAGGTAGTGTGGCAATTACAATGTGTCTCCTATGCTTGGAGTCATTGGAGGACTTGTCAACGTAAGACCAACGTTAGCATGTCCTTCCTAATGATTTTGTTATTAGAATATTTATTTGCAAGAAAAATTCTTTGGTCTGCTGCATGTGGTGGCGATCAACATAGGATAGTTCCTTTCCGTCTCCATTTCATTCTGTATTACACATGTAAAACAATGGGTTAAGATTTAGGAGTTACCTATATAATATTAGAAGAAGCTAAGAAAACCCTGACCATAACTTCCATTTTAAACTACAGTTGATCAAATTGTTAGTTTCTGCCTAGTAGATGGTGCTGTGTCTGGGTTTTTAATTGAGGGAGGGAGGGAAGGAGGGAGGTTATTTACAATGCTTTCCAAGTGGTTATTTACAATACTTTCTGTTATTTACAATACTTCCAAGTTGTCAGTCTTGCTCATTTCACTTACAGTAGGTGCTGTAATAATTAATATCTACGGCGGACAATATTTTTATTAAATATTAGAGAAATTAATATTCTAGAATCTCTCTAATATTTTATATGTTAAATCAGAAGGCCCAATGTATTAGTATTAATGTTAATATCAATCTTAATACTATTATTAAAATAATAGTAGTAGTAGTAACTAGTAACAGCAGCAGCAGTAGTAATTAACAACAATGACAGTATTGTTACTATTGTTATTGTTGTTGTTGCTGTCGCTGTTCTTCTTCTTCTTCTTCGTTTTTTGTTCTTAACAACTCATGGTTAAGAGTTGGGACATGTGGCATTCAACTAGAGTAGGACCCTATGGAGAGGGAGACTTAGGCAGGAGTGGAAATACAATGTAACCTACATCATCCAATCCAATCTCTATCTCTTCCTATAGTTAATACCTTATGTTTATGCAAACTTTAAGAGTGAATTTTTTTTATATGTAGTTATGCAGACATAAAGAGAGACTTCTGGTCCTATTTTAAGGATTATTATCTTCATTATAAATCTATTCAGAATCTTTTATGCTTTGGAAAATTTCTTTTTTCTTGAGATTGAATAATAGAAATGTGTATAGCACGTGACTCTTACTAGTTAATTAGTTATTATTCTGAGGATGACATGTCTGCTTGAACTCCCTTTTTCTGGTCAGTTAAATGGTCTGAGTTGGAAGTACTGATACATTTTTGGTCTTTGGGAAATTTTATATGATATTAATATGACCCTTTCATTGGTGCAGGCTGTGCGTTATTGCAGGGAATATATCTCCAATTGATGTGATCACCCATGTCCCAATTCTATGCGAAGAGTCAGATATCCCATACATATATGTGCCAACAAAAGAGGTAAAATTAGATAATTAACCGTGCTAAATTCCTTCAAATATCATGGGTTCTAGTGCGCCAATTCCAATCAGAACACCATAACCAACACTAAGCATAATTTTGTCCCGGAACTGTACTAGTACTAACGAGTGACTTTTTCTTTGATTGGTGTACGATGAATGGCAAATTGCGAAGCCCTTGTGCTGATTCCGCTAGGAAAAAGCTATGTTTCTTATAGTAATCACTTAAGTGACTGGAACATGAGTTTCTTGTTTGGAGGCTCCCAATGATGATGCGCAGGAGAACAAGATTTTATGCTTTGCTAAACATATGTAGAGTGTTCATTGCTTCATTTAAACTTCATAATTTTTTTTGACGGACTTTGGGTGTAGTACTGAATGCCAGCCATCCCTTTCGATATTTGATGGTTGGGATGGTGTGAAGTTTCCTATAGGAGCTTCAATTTGCTCATTGAACACATTTCCATGTATAAAATATATTTCATTCCCAGTTAACATTCTAAAAAAATAATGATAGTTCATTCCATACCAATTTTCTCCTCTGATTCGAAATCGCCCAGTACATGCTTTAGGTTCCCATTTGATAACTTTTTTGTAGAAACCCTGGATAGACGTATTGGAAGCCTTCATTCCTTCATTCAAACTCCAATTGTTTTTTTTGAACTTTGGGTATAGTAGCAATGCATCCCAGCCGTCCCCTGTCAACATCTGATGGTGGGGGCGTTATGAAATTTCCTATAGAGTCTTCACTTTGCTCATTGAACACATTTCCATATATATGAAATTATATTTCATGAACCATAAAAAAATAAAATGATATTTCATGGTAAGCGTATTTTCTCCTCTGATTTGAAATGGTCCACTATATATATGCTTTAGGGCCCCATTTGATCACTTTCCTGTAGTTTCCCTGGTTACCAAGGAATCCCTGGGATTCTTGAGGAGGGGGAAATATCTGGAAAATTGTTGCAGGTAGTGTCTCCAGTATTATAACCTGTCCGGATTCTCTAGTGCTGATGGTTTCCCTATTTGATAACTTGGAAAGTTGGAAATTGCCTATTTTAACTGTTGACTATGTAATTCATCAATAAGATGTTAAAGCTTCACATTTTTAATGAAACACATATGCAAGTCCCTATATAACGAGCTCATATTTATGGCGTAATGGTCTCCCAGAGGTGTTACCCATATTGGTGGACTACCCTGCATTGAGGACTGAGCGCTTCATTTCAATTTCTTGAACATCCATGCCTCCTTTATCTTCATCTGTTCTTTAAACTTATCAACGCTATTGTAACTATTCATGTCGACTCCTGAAAATTTAACTCGTCTAGTATAAAGTTTGCTCTATCTTATTGCGTTAATCATGTCGAACATTGTCGAGGAATACGACTGCTTATTCTTCTACCAGGAAAAATACAAAGTCACCCCAGTCTTGAAAAGAGATGGATAGGCTTGTGGGGGAAGAGGAGGAGGCGTGGGGGGGGGGGGGGTGAGGAAGAGGAGAGTGAGTGTGACGTAGCGAGTGTGA